TATCAAAGTTACCATAGGGGAAATATAAGAAAATAAGAAGGAAAACAAAAATAAAAAACTCCTTGTCCAAAGCCATTGGGACATTCAGGATTTGTCAGCTATGATTAATATTATTTATAACTGGAAGAGAATGAATTCTTAAAATATATAATATGGGCACAAATAAGAAGTAGATGGAAATCAAATGTACCCTTATTGTTGAATTGAGACGATTTTGGCTTTTCAATAGTAGCTAAATCACAAGGCAGGTAAATGATCTAGACTTGAGCTCTAGGACCAACTTTACTATTATTGAAAAGCTAACTTCAGAGAAATGTGTATGTGGTAAAGCTTGTACCATATTCATTTTCTCCACCAAATAACATTCCATTGTTGGAATAAGCCATACTTGATTTATTCATTTAAAGTAAATCAAAACAAAATCAACCAACCAACCAAGAAACCCTCCGGGCCTCATAGATAAGGGCTAATAAATGCACCCAGTATGAATTCTTTCTGCTAGAGCCCATCAAACAACATAGAGAAGTAGAAGAATAAATATTCTTGGTGTTAATAATGGTCTTATTTATTTCTCTTCATTAACGTTTCCTTGTTTTAGTTTGACTTTCAGCTACCCATGACAGACAGCCCTCTACTGGGATTCACTGGCCACAGAACACTTATAATCTAAGTCAACATTTAAAAGCTAATCTCTAATCTGTTTTGACTGGAATAATACAATTCTAATTGCCCTTCTCTTTCTAATAAGCTGGCTATTCCTTTTGGTTTTGACCTTTTGACTTTGTATCTGAAGAGATGTATTTGTTGTCTTGATGGTTCCTGAATTCCATGGTCTAACTTCCATTTTGGGGATTCTTCTAATTATTCTCAAAGTCTCTAGGGCTCTGAACCTAGGGTAATTTTGTCTCCCAGGGGACATTTGGCAATGTCTGAAGACATTTTTAGTTGTCATAAGTGGTGTGTGTGTGTGTAATTAGCAACTGGTGGGTAGAGGCCAGGGATCCTGCTAAGCTTCTTATAATGTATAGGACAGCTCCCCTACCCCCTAAAACAAAGGACTATCTACACTAAAATGTTAATAGTGTCAAGGCTGAAAAATCTTGGACTTAGAAACTTATAAATTTGTTTTAAGCTGGAATTTTAAAAATTTGACCTTATAAATAAAAGAAATATCACTGGGTCAGACTGGTGAATCATTTAGCTAAGAGAGAGGTACTAAAGGAAACACAGCCTGAGAAATATCAGAGATCATCTAATCCAGCTTCCTTATGTTACAGAAGTCAGAGACTGAGGCCTAGAAAGGGGAAATAGCTATGGATCCCAGCTTGCAATGACAAAAAGGGGTTGGTAAATTATGGCACATAAACCAAATCTTGCCTATCACCTATTTTTATAAATAAAGTTTATTTATTCATTTATGTATTTATTTGTCTACTTCACAGTACATATGCTATGATGACAGAGTTGAATTGACAGAGACTATATGTTATACAAGCCCAAATATTTCCCATTTGGCCTTTGCCTAAAGTTTGCCACCTTCTGAAGAAAAAAGAAAACGGCACAGTTGCTTCCTTTGATGTCATAGTCATAGAGTTCAGAGATGTTCTTCAAGTATCTCTCGTTTCTCATGATATTCACCAATAGACCTTTCTGGTATAGATTTACTTGCATTTGTTGCAGTAATAACTTTTATAATTTTATATGGCGGTACCTTAAGTGTCAATGAATACCATTTAAAAAATTTTTTTAGTTGTTGATAGACCTTTATTTTTCATTTATTTATATGCGGTGCTGAGAATTGAACCCAGTGCCTCACACATGCTAGGCAAGCACTCTACCAATGAGCCACAACTCCAGCCTATGAATACCAATTTTACATCTTTTTAAAAAAATTTTAATTGTTGATAGAACTTTATTTTATTTATTTATATGTGATGCTGAGAATTAAATCCAGTGTCCCACACATACCAGGTAAATGGGCTACCACTGAGCCACAGCCACATCTACCCATTTTTACATCTTTAATTTCAAGGTTTAAAAGAATATTCCCTCATTTTAGCATATTAGAGTACAAAGTATTGGATCCTGAATATTGATGAATTTATCAGTTCTCTATTACACCCATCATGATTTGACAGGTCTTTATTTTAGATTGAGCATATATTCAACTTTGATGAAAGATTCCTAAATTTACTACAGATAACGCTATCTTTTCACTGCTTAAGCTGTTGTTGATTAGTTGACAGGACTTAAGATATATACATAATAAATTACAGCATTAACTTATATTTCTTTGTTTCTTAAATCACCAGTCTTAGAGTTAGTTAGCCAGTTCTCAAGTCTTTCAAATGTCTGATTGCCATCTGGTGGCAAAAGCAGGAAGTATATTCACATGGGAGCTTCTCCTTCTGATTACTGATATCACACCCAATGTGCCTCCCTTAACCCACTCATCTTGAGAATAGACCAAAACTACAGGAGTACCAAGATAATAAACCAAATAACATGTCAGCATACTGGAGTTGGTGGGATCCAAAGAGAATCTAATATCCCAAGGTGTTCACTATCCAGCTGGAGAGCCAAATGTACACAGTAAACAAAGTCTGGCTGTCCTCCAGACTGTTCCCACCAGTGTTCTTCCATGACACTGGATTGTGAGGATAGTCTGGATTATTTTTCTAAATATAGCCAATAAAAGGTTTAACTATGCCCACAGAGTAATCAATTTGACAAGTCTCTTATTTTTTTACATCAGAATCTTAAATTATGGGTGAAATAAATCTTTTCTTGGTTTTATAGAAGCACAACAAACTCTTTTGTTCTAGTGCCAGGAACAGATAACATGTGGGCAAATTTGGCAGAAAAATGGAAAGGAATAAAAGATGAAGGAATTTATCACATTGACTTCCTTCTGGGGGCAGGTGAAGAGCCTTTGGGTACACTGGGAAGTAGACCCTGATGGTCTAACCTTTAATCCACAAATTGGCTCTGAAGGTTTACTTTCTGTCCTAGCCACCCACTCTTCCACTTCAATGACTGATGCTTTTCTAATATTTCTCCATTTGTTTCAATCCTTTTTCTGTCTACTGCCCATCTATGACTGGTTACTCCAGCACCCTTTCCCATTCTCACTAAAGATAAGGATGATGAAAACAAAACAAATATTGATGATGTGAATCTTGCAAAAAAAATGCTGATTTGCATTTTTGGTTGTTTTACTCACTGGACAAATACCAAAAAAAAAAAACACAACATTTTATGAATTGTCGTTTAATGCTTTCTACTCTCAATATATTCAACTAGACTACTAGTTAAAAGTAAATGGTCTGGGACTGGGGTTGTGGCTTAGTGATAGAGCGCTCACCTAGTGTGTATGAGGTGCTGGATTCGATGCACCACATAAAAATAAATAAATAAAATAAAGGTATTTACTACAACTAAAAAAAAAGTAAATGGTCTGCTCTATTCATAGACCTCAGTAAATAAAAATGTTTGCTTTTCACAGATGAACTGAAATTTCTCTCAGTTTGAAGTCTGCATTTCATTTAAGGAGTCCAGCCCATCAAATGCTAGGCTGAAAAGGTGAAGTGCTTGTGGTAGAAAGAATGCAGCTGTGGCCCCAATTTTTCACTTCTTCTTGTATTTATTTCTTGCATACTGACTTCAGACTTGGCCATGTGATTTGCTTTGGCTTAAAGCAAGCAGCGGCCTAAACACATATTTGCATGTTTCGGCTTCTTTTCTTACACCCCTACCACCTCCACAGGAAGATGTCAGAGCTAACCTGCTGGAGAGATGAGACAGACAGATGGAGGACAACTAAACTGCCTTAGTCAAGGACATCTTAAAATACAGTTAGCCTCAGGCTGACCTGTCAGTTCATTGCAAATGAGTGAGCCCAGCTAGAATTAGCTAAATCTGGCTAGATCAGAACTGTCAAGATGTTAGATTCAAGAGAAATAATAAATTGTTACTGTTTTAGGCTACAGAGTTTTGAGATGGTTTAATATACAACATTATTGTATAATGTAATAGAGAGTACTCAGTGCTTTCTCTACTCAAAGATAGTTTAATTCATTAGATATTCATATAGGATTTCTACCTAAAAATTAACCATATATAATTCAGTTTTTCAGAATGGAAAAAAGTCCTATAAATATAATTCTGCCTTTATAAGTACTGACTATAGCAGCTACTTACAGTCAACAACATTTCACTCATCTTTCGTCTTACCTGCTCTGTGAAGACTACCCCATTGCTCTTAGTAGGGTTTTTTTCCCTCCAGGTCCTAATGTGTCTTGTATAGATTTCTAAAATTGCACTTGTGTCACTGTATTTTAATGGTCTATCTAACTTTTTCCTCATTCTACAGACTAGATTATGAGCTTCTTGAAGACAATGGCTAAAATTTTTCATCTTTATACCCTGAGAATTGTCCCTGACATATATTAAGTGTATCAATTTAATGAATGTTGAGTGAATGAAAGTCAGATACAAAGATAACTATATGGACTCTGCTCCAGGAACTCAGAATTTGATATTAAAAGGAAACACATAAACTAAGAATTTAGATGAAGCAATCAAATTTATATGTATGGAGAGAAGAGGGATGAGCAGTAACAGTTTGAAAGAAGTACCATCTAAGCTTGGGATATAGCTCAATTGGTAGAGTGCTTGTCTGGCATACACAAGGCCCTGGGTTCAATCCCCAGCACCATACACACATACAACACACACACACACACACACAAAAAAAAAAAAAAAAAAAAAAGAAAGAGTTACCATCTAAGCTAGAATTTGAGGCAAAGGTTGCCAGTGGATAATGGTGTGTTGGGACCAGCTTTCTTGGGGGGAATTAACTGATTGGGGGAGAAAGTCCTGATTTGTATAGTACTTGTTGATGTTCTTGTTATAAATACCCTCACTGATAGCTGATTTCAAGTTACAAACTAGCTTGCAAAATTCCAGATATTTAATAATCCGTTCTTTCTAATTGATAGGGGTCAGTTCCAGTATACTACTGGAGAGGAATATATGAAAATGGATTTGGAAAGGAGAATTCCAGGTAAAACAAACAAGTTGTGTAAGTATAACTAACAAATAAAACATGGACAATCTGGAAAATTATAAGTAATGTGCTGCTAAAGTGTAAAGGTGGGAAGAATCAGGGGCTAGATTGAGAAAAGCTTGGTATAATAGCTGAGAAGCATGAACTATATCTTATAGGAGAGCCACTGAAGAATTTTAAGGAGGGAAGTGACACAATCAAAATAGTCCTTAAAGGAATCACTTTTGAGAGAAAAAAGTAGAGAATGTATGGAAAATAATAATTTGGTTAATTTGAAATCAATCAATTTTGGTTGATGTGCTCCTTGCTTCAATAGAACATCAAAGTTAAACCTATTCAGGAGCTCAGAAAAAGATTTTGGAGTTGTCATCCTATGGAGGCAAGATATGGGAGTTGTGCTGGAGATACAGCTCAGTGGCAGAGCACTTGCCTACCATGAATGAGGCTCTGGGTTCTAATCCCAGCACCACAAAAACAAAACAAAACAAAACAACCTATGGGGCTAGGTGAGATTGCCTAGTAGAAAAACCCTGGCTATTTAAAATTAGACTAGATCACAAACTAATCTAACTTATCAGATTTCTTTTAGGAGATGCTCTCATTCAGATGACTTCAGACAGGAATGAATTAGAAAATATACTAGGGCAAGGAGACTAAATAGGAGTTACTCCTCTCCCCAAACAACAATACAAATATGACAAAACAAAACAACCTACAAATAGAACATAATCAAGGTTTTATACTGTCTTAAGCCAGTACTGCAGGACCTTATCGGTTTCGCTCTTTTTGGAGCTCATCAGCTGCAGGTAACGGCTCTACTCCACTCTGATGTAGCATGCCTGCATACCATCTTACCATTTACAAAGTCTCCCATTCACAGTCTTCAATTCTTTTTTTTTGTTTTGTTTTGTTTTGTTTTGGTACTAGGGATTGTACTTAACAACCGAGGGGTGCTTAACAACCGAGCCACATCCCCAGCTATCCTAACAATTCTTGAAGTTTCCTCAGCATTCACTAAACACTTTATTTATATTTAGGTCCTGAAGGCTTTGTTGGGACAAAGTAGCACATGATTGCTGGGGATTGAACGTAGGGCCTCTGAATTCTCAAGGCTGACAGTGTTTGTTTTTGTGGTTCTAAGAGTCTCTTTTTAATATTTTCAGAGCCTTAATTTTATCATCATTTTCACAGAAGCAGAACCCAAAGGCAGAACAATATTTTAGTTGTATTAACAACTATTTAGCTTAAAACTTAACTGCCTTAAGATTAAAAATAAGTCCCCACAAAGTACTCCTACTGACTTTCCTTCATAATATCTCACCTTTCTTAATAAAATAACATCAAATAACTAGAATGAAGAAAGCCAAGAATTAAAGGAGAGAAATTACAATGACATTTCTAAAAAGAATATGAAGGAAATCCTAGAGAAGAATCTGTGAAAGAAGAAATAAGTAAAAATGTAAAAGTTTGATAGTAAATTTGTAGCAAAGTACTTCAGTTGATCATGCAACAAATGGAAAGGTGTTCATATTTATGGTCATTGTGTTAAGAAAGTAGCAAGTAATGTCTGAAATTTAAGCTATGGAATGGTTTATGAATCCAAAAATAAAGTTTATCTTATTACTTTGTAGCCATTGCCAGGTCTCTGGAAATGTACCAGTCTCACATCATCTTAATGATGTTTATTCTGATACTCAAGGAAAAAAACAGCTATCAATGATCAGGAAAAATTTTTAAAAATCATTACATTTGGTGGCCAAAAGAAAATGTTTACAGCTATGATTTGGACAAAGACTATGCAAAAAAAAAAAAAAAAAAAGAATCTCTACTTTGTCTCACTTCATAGAAAACATCAAGTTCATGTTTACTTTAGCTCTATATCAGCCAGTATGCACTTGTATGGCTCTACGTATATAACTAGCATCTGCTCTGTTTGTGCCTGTCATGCCAACTGTTGAATATTTTGAATATGAGCTCAGGTTCTAGTATTGCATATCTTGTAAATCTCATATGGCCTAAGCAATACTTAGGTGGACTAAGGACTGCACTTGTGAAAATGTAAGGAGAACCTAGAATTGAGTATTCATTCCCATGACACTTGAACATGTTGATGTAGTCATTAAGTTAATGATTGATTTTGGCATATCTTATAGACCAAAGTTTGGTGACCTTAATCAAAGAGGTAATCTTCAAAGAAGTACTCTTAAGTACTGAAGGAAGAACTCCCAGGTGTTGTTCAAAATGAAAACTGAAAAACTAGAAGAACATTATTTGAATCTCCTATCCATTGCTAAAATTCCCTCTGCAATGTGTGAATCCCATAAGACTTTGTACATTTCCAGTGATAGAAAGTTCTCTTTTTATGGAACATCTCATTTCAATTTGGTCATTGAACTAAAGTCATTTCATTTGGTCACTGAACTGCCATTATCCATATCTGCTCCTTCTCTTCCAGTTCCTTAATGAAGCAATCTTCAAAACCCAGCTCTCTTTCATGGAACTTTCATTCACATCCTCAATGTTCAAGCGTTACTTCAAGGTTCACTTCGGGCATGACATCTCTCCTTATATTTAGTCCTGTATTTCTAACCACCTTAGAAATATGGGTCTTTACATTAAAAGGACCTAATATTCAAAATGCTTCAATTTCTTTAATCGCCTTTCTAATGAATCTGCTATTGTTGCTGTGTGTATTTTAATTCTCAATTTGAAATCCAATAATTCATTACCATTATTTTATAAAATACGTGTTTTAATTTACCTGGTTTCTACTTTCACATTTCCTTTTTTTTGAGGGTGGGGGTATCACAGATTGAACCTGAGAGCACTCGACCACTGAGCAACATCCTCAGCACTTTTTGTACTTTATTCAGAGTGGGTCTCTGAATTCGCAATCCTCCTGCCTCAGCCTCCTGAGTTGCTGAGATTATAGGCGTGTGCCAACATGCCTGACTCACATTCCCTTTTGCATTTCAAATAATTTTCTGATGGACTAGATCTTTCAAAACTTTCTTTGGAGAAGCACTTCTAGCAAGGATCTGGAAATATCTTAATATTTCTTGAAAAATATTTTTGGTGGTAAGAGAATCTAGGTTGATGTTTACTTTCTTTCAGAAGCATATAAGTATCATTTCACTGATCTCTGGCTTCCTTTGTTGCTACTGGGAAATCTGCTGTTGGTCTCCTTTGAATGCAATGTCATTTTTTCCAACTGCTTTTACGATTTTGTCATGTGTATCTATAATGTATAAAGAAAAAATCCGGCTGGGGATTTGTTGGGCTTCTGGAAACATTGCCTCTACCACATTACTTTTCTTCTAGTTCTTCAATGAGAAGATGAGTCTTACTCTGTTCAGTCTCTTGAACTACCTTTTAGCTTTATGTCCTTCTGTGCTGCTTTTCCATAACTTCAGTTCTACCTTCCAATTTACTCACTTGATTGTATTTAATCTGCTACAATATCCATCCATTGTGTTTTTATTTCAACTATGCTTTTTCTGGAAATTCTTTTTCAACTATGCTTACTCTCACTGTATTTTATTTCTTAAATACATAAAACATTTTATAGTCTGCATCTGATAATTTCTATATCTGAAGTATTTTCAGGACCGATTCTGTTCACCATTATCCCTGCTAGTTCATTTGATGAAACTTGTTTTCTGGTGAATTTGGGGATTTATTTACACATGAGTTGTTTATTTTTCTTAGAACTTTATGAAAATTCAAGAAGTCTGAAATAAGAATCTTTTCCCCAGAAAGGATTTATGTTATTTTGTCTCAGGCACCTAAGAGCCACTAGAAACACTTTAAATAAACTTTAGAATCACTTTAAATAAATTCTCAGTTTGATGTTGTATCAATATTCAGTATAATGTGGGCTACAAACTCAAGTGAAGGCCAGCTTATATTGTAAATGTCTGAGAGAAGCAATTTTCTTTGTAGGCCCTTAGAAGGGGAGGAAATGAACATATTTCTTTTCAGAAAAAATTTAATTAATTAATTAATTAATTTTACTTGTTGAATGTATTTCTTGATTATCCTAATACTGACAGTGTAGCCCCTTTGGGATCCCAATTTTATTGGTGGGAAGCAGAGGGTACTACAATTATTAGGTTTTCCATCTTTGATCAGAACCAAAGATATATCTCTTGACTTCTAAAGCTACAACACTATAGAAGTTATTCATCAAATATCCTCAGTGCTAATGTCATTTTTAGTGTTCTTTTCTGGATTCCTGTCTTATTTTTTGGTCTGAGAATTCCATATTTTCTTTCCAGCAAATTAAACTAGCATTTTAACAGTCTTTTTAAAAAATATCTTTATTGTTTAGTTATAGATGGACAATACCTTTATTTATCTTTACGTGGTGCTGAGGCTCAAACTCAGTGCCTCACATATGCTAGGCAAGTACTCTCCCACTGAGCCACAGTCCCAGCCCCATAAACTAGCATTTTAAATTGCTTTCATCTGGAGGACTGGTCTAGATACCAAGTCTGCCCTATTGCCAGAAAGAGATCTATACAGTGCCTTCAAGCATGGAAAATAGTAAATGTTATGCCAAGGAACTAGGCTTAAAAGATTAGTAGTGTTTATTATATCTCCTTGAACATCATCTCTCACATTCAAAACATTATAACAAATCCAGTTAAATTCTGTCTTCAAATCTTTGACTTACTCTTGAATACTTGATTCTATTGCCATCATCCTATTGCTGGCTTGACCTTATATATTTTTAGCTAAGTTAGGGATTTAGAGGAGCTAAAACTTAGTCTGCACAAAACTAAGAGTTTAAGCTTTTTAAAATATTGGCTTTGCAATTTGTCATGTTAATCTTTTTTTTCCAAATCATCATCATCTCTATTTAATAATGAGTGGAGCCTCCAAATGTCATCTTTCCAGAATCTTTCCAAGCACAGATTCTCAGCCCCAAACAGGGCTGTCTTCTCTTTGCTCCCTGCATAAGTTATGTGCATTTTTTTTTTTTTGCTAATGTGCCTTTGATCCATGGTCTTATTTTTTATCTACTTTTTGATACTGGGATTAAACTCAGGGACACTCAACCACTGAGACACGTCCCCAGCCCTATTTTGTATTTTATTTCGAGACAGTCTCACTGAGTTGCTTAGTGTTTCACCATTGCTAAGGATAGCTTTGAACTTGTGATCCTCCTGCCTCAGCTTCCCTAGCCACTGGGATTACATGTGTGCATCACTGTGTCCAGCCATGGTATTA